TCAAAATCATTGCACTTATATTGCAACATGCAAGCACATGTATGTGTGTGAGTGTCTGCTTGTACCGGTCCGGAATAATGCCAAGTTAATCGTGCCAGCCTACTGAGATACCATGCCCCAGTTTAACATGAATATCCCACTCAGTCACAGTATACGGACTCTGAGCTGACCAGTCCTGGTTTTGGCCCCTTAATACTGTGCGCCAGACAGGGTAACAGCAAGTACCATCTTTTAACCTCTTTTGGTATGACGCAGACAGGGATTGAACACCCACCTTCCACTCTCCGGGCAGACCACGGAGACGGTTCTCTGCAGTCCTGAGGGTTTCCTTTATAAAACTATTTAACCATATTCTGTTATTTAGGGGACTTTATTGTAGTCTAAGAATGCCAACAATCACAACTGAAATAAATTATTAAGCATTGAACATGAACAGTTCCCAAAACATTTATGAGTGAAAACATTTTATAATAAAAAATAACCACACAGTCCATGGATGCAATTAATTTACAGTTCCCGAAACACTAAAGACTGGTAAGTTCATTTCAAGTCCATTTCAAGTCCATTTCAAGTCCATTTCAAGTTCAGTGAATATCAAAATGATATTTTCATGAGATATGCCAAAGAGCATTCTGACAGTCACCATCCCAAATTAAGTGTTGGGGTTAATGCGTCTTCTGACAAATCAACAACAAATGTTATCAAGCGACATTTCAATGCCCTCATGGTCATCAAATCCTAAACACTATTCTGAAAGCCTAAGTAACAGGCCTCTGATGTCATAAGCTTGCTCGATATCGTAATGACTTTAAGAGCTTGCACTGACCTTAACCCTACACATCACCAGTTGACCTCAAGAACAAATGAAATATTACCAACAAACGATTGGCATGTTAATAGTCATAAAAGTCACCAGACATCAGCAGGTCTTAGGGTTTCCAGACCCGATGATTTCGGGGATTATGTAGTCCACTTGCTTATTTTTCAGTCAGTATACATATAGAATTTCATGATTATCACTGAAACTGTGTCTGTCTTAACCTTGTTAATCAGGAAACCTTGTCTTTGGGACCAGTACTATCTACTTCTACATATATAAAAAGGACACTGCCTGCTCAAATTATGAGGGGCGGTCGGGTAGCCTGGTGGTTAAAGCGTTCGCTCGTCATGCTTTATCACAATATAGATCTTGATTATCGATCAGTTTGTCTTGATTTGGCATCGCCATTTTGTTCGAAGCATAACTCGTAATAGCCACTGGTGGCGCTACAATCGAGCCCAGGAATTCCAGCTTAGTTTGGGAAACTGGACCTTTAAAGTCAGTTAACTCTCTTGCCTGTCAATTGGAATGCTCCATGTTGACCTTTCTGAGGTTGCATGATTAGAAAAATACTGTTAATTTCCTGGTGTTTTAAGCTCTGATTGGTCAGATAAAAGGTTGTTCTGACTGACCCCGTAATGGTAGCGAGAACTAAGCGAGAACTAAGATCTGATTTTAATGAGATAGCTGCCTACTGCACTAAAAGATCTGCTCACCTGGAGACTTGCTAAACTGGTAGGGCTGTGTTTTGGTCAAAACTATTCCAACGTTACAACCATCTTAATTATGCATATTGCGATATATTGGGAGCTTAAGTGTTTGACAGAGATTGACGCTGACTGTACATTCAGCTTAAATTTTCTACATACTAAAGGTTTGGTTGTTGTTTTAAGCAGCGCTAAGCAATATTCCAGTGATATGACAGCGGTCTGTAAAGAATCGAGTCTGGACCAGACAATCCAGTGATTGACATCATGAACATTGATCCACGCAATTGGGATCGATGACATGCATCAACCAAGTCAGGGAGCCTCACCACCCGATCCCGTTAGTCGCCTTTTACGACAAGCAATAGTGTATAACATGTAGTCGCAAACATGTTTTACAAACTGATCATTTCCTTAATAAATGTAGTAACTGTTCAGTTTTAATGAATATATATATATTGTTTTTTTAAATCTTTATTCACATTTCAAATAAAATACAATGTGTAGCATTTCATCAATTATACATTATTCAAAAACCAATCCCTTTACATCAAACTTTTGAAACATATTACAAATATAGACAATCATAAAATAATATATGTGAAAGGCTCTCTGTGAGTTTACCCTGCAGAGTTTCAGACACTGACTGGCAGACTGTAAAATGGTGTGAGAAGGAGTGTTTGATTGTGAGGTGGGTGGGATGAAATGAGGTGAAACCATGAAACTGGGATTAACATCACGTCCCAGATTATTGCACTTATATACTTATATGTTTGTGTCTGTCTGCTTGTACTAGTCTGGACTAATGCCGATGTATAGTGCTAGCTCACTGAGATACCATGCCGCAGTTTAACATAAATATCCCACTCAGACACAGTATACTAACTCTGAGCCGACCAGTCCTTGTTTTAGCCGCTTAATGCCGAGCACCAGGCAGGGTAACAACAAGTACCATCTTTTGGTATCATATGACAGACACAGTTTACTGACTCCGAGCCGACCAGTCCTTGTTTTAGCCCTTTAATGCCGAGCACCAGACAGGGTAAAAACAAGTACCATCTTTTAACGTCTTTTGGTATGACGCAGCCGGGGATGGATCCCCGGACCTTCCCCTCTCCGGGCGGATGCTCTACTTCTAGACCACGGAGGCGGTCAGGTGTGTGGGATGATAATCTAACAATCTATTACAGCCAACAGGAAGTAAAGTAACAACTTGTGTATACATTGGCTAATGCTTACGATTGAAAGACTTTGTCCCAGAAGAGCTCGATTAAATAGCAATCGTTTTTTGTTTCTATAAACAGTTTTAAAAAAATCCCAATCTACACAGCTTAAAACGCATATAAATCTTCATCTGCTTTACTAACTTCATTTTTATTCCGATACACAAGAATCAGTGCCATAAATATATATATGTAATCAGACTTCACTTTAATGACGTCATTGTGATGCTTAGTGATCATCGTCATCCCAACAGCAAACATTTGCTCAGGAAGAAATCACAAACCAAGATTAGCCAAACGAGAGATTAATACCAAACGAAACCAATCGCAGCCTTATCAATCAATATTTTTGCTTGAACATGATTAAAGAGCATATTAAATGACAACTGACTTTTCACTGGGGATTAAAGTGGATGCATCTGGACAGTAATTAGGAGGGGATTTTGATGTCTTTATGGTGCTCAGTGTAAGTCTTATGAGTGATAATATTTGTACGTAACAACCACAGGGGGATTAAGAAAAACAAGTCTTAGCAGGAAATAAAGTCAACCGACCTGATTGACATGACCAAAATTGAAAACTTCATGTCGGCAATTTTTCACAGTGTGATGACATTAAACATCAGATGATATGTCAACTATATTAGTTGTCACATTTTGATAAATTAGGTGGTTGAGGTGAGGTGAAATGGGGTTTAACATCGCGTCCAAGATTATTGTACTTATATAGCGACATGCATGCACGTGTGTGTGTGTGTGTGTGTGTGATGTGGCTGCTTGTACTAGTCCGGACTAATGCCGACTATAGTGCTAGCTCACTGAGATACCATGCCGCAGTTTAACATGAATACTCCACTCAGACACAGTATACTGACTCCGAGCCGACCAGTCCTTGTTTTAGCCCCTTAATGCCGAGCGCCAGACAGGGTAACAACAAGTACCATCTTTTAACGTCTTTTGGTATGACGCGGTCGCTCTCCAGGATGACGCTCTACCACTAGACCATGGAGGTGGTTTTTGATAAATTATGGTGAATATATTACCTATACTCGCTTTCACATTTTGATAACATACGATGAATATGTACCCATACCAGCTTTCACATTCTGAGTAAGCATATACTCCGAAACGTTGTGTTCCTCATAATAAAGTAGTTGACATCCATAAATTCTCTTCCTTATGTGTATCACTTCTAAATGCCTTTCAAAGACTTGATTATAAAGTCAATTCAATTAAATGAACCAAATTGACAAAATCAACAAATGACTTTCAATGAGAAAGACAAGCTGCAAAAACTGTAATGTGTAATTTCTGTTCCACAACAATACTAGAGCTGTTTGCCATAAGAAATACCGTAATTAAACCTTTCATATTGTTTCTACTATGAGTGAGTGAGTTTGGTTTTACGCCGCTTTTAGCAATATTCCAGCAATATCACGGCGGGGGACACCTGAAATGGGCTTCACACATTGTACCCATGTCGGGAATCAAACCCGGATCTTCGGCGTGACGAGCAAACGCTTTAACCACTAGGCTACCCGACCGCCCCTGTTTCTACTATGACAATGGCTAATACAACTACGATACGACCAAGACCGCTACTGTTCAGTTTGCTTGATCATTCCAGCCATAACACAGAGCCCTGGAAATAATCAAGTCATGGCCAGACAAACCATTGATTGATATCATGACCATGCCATGACATGCAGTCAACAAAGTGACAGAGCTAGCCACCCAATTCATTTAGTTGTCTCGATGACAAGTTTAGGTAACTGGAGACAATTTTATATTTAAGCCTGCAGTACACATGCAGAGCTACTATTACATATATTACCTTTCAAAAGGTGACAACACATAGAATCTTACATCTGAATTACCGTATTCGACGTAATAAGCGCCCAGGGCGCTCTCAAAATTTGAAATAGGGGGCTTTTATTAGAATATTATTTTGGTGAAATAAAAAGTTGAAAGATTGTAAATTCCTTTGTTTATACTGACAGCCTGAAATGTTTATATACGACAGATATTTTTTTTCCAGAATTTAATTGCCCATAATTAAGTGTGCATATAACACACGACTGCCTATTATAGACAAATAAATAATTCTCGTGTACATTGATCAATCGGAAGGGGTGCTAATTGGAATTGTTCACTAGCCAATCAATATATTAGCAAATATCGCCGTGGGCGCTTATTACGTCGAATACGGTATATAAAGAACTAAATCTGAAATATTTCTCTTTTCTTTCAGGCATGAGACAAACAGCGTGCCACCTCGCCATGGTTGCCCTGGCAACAATGTGTGTGATTGCGGTTGCCGTCGCTGGGAAAGAAAGTATGGAACCGTCAGTGCGACAGGACAGTCAGACAGGAGGTCGCTTGTCCTACCTCCTGTCTAAGCGTTCCAGTGGTCTTTCGTTACTCGCTCCCCCAAGCCGCTACTCCCCTTACTTAAAACCCATTTCGGCCAAACGAGACAACGGATACTGGGTTTGGATGCCTGCCCATGGATACATGACTGTACCCCAGGACGAGGCTTCAGAAGGTTCGGAGAGCAAGGATGGAGTCAGCAACCTCCTCCGTTACGGTTAAACAACAGTTCAGTTACAAGTCCTAAATGTTCACAGTTTAATGAAGACGCTGTCAGTGTGGATTTGACTTTCTCAAAATCAACAAATAATTCTTAACCCAAGGTCTATTTTTGTAACTCAATGCATGCACAGAAATAGTAATAGTTCTCTAAAGACTAGCAGTAGTACCTTCCTAACAATTTGCAGTAGGACATTCCTGATGATCGGCAGTAGTACTTCCCTCAAGACTGGTAGTAGTGCTTTACTAAAGACATTCCTGTAATGGCTTGAGGAAGAAGGGAAATCTAAAGAACTTATTGAACAATGCTGAAGCTCTGGTCCTGTACATATTCCTTCCACTGATGGGGCTACTTCTACAATGTGTTGGGTGTGGGGTCCAGGCTAGTGGCAGCACAACTACTTATCGTTACAAAATCAAACGATGGGCGGCAGAAGCGGGGACTGTGGAACATTGTGCAATAAATGGGTATCATAAAAGAGTCTTGTGTTTTTTAAATTGGTTAAAAAACAAAATCCAAATAAGGATTGGAGTGAGTGAGTGAGTATTGTTTTACGCCGCTTTTTGCAATATTCCAGCAATATCACGGCGGGGGACACCAGAAATGGGCTTCACACATTGTACCCATGTCGGGAATCGAACCCGGGTCTTCGGCGTGACGAGTGATCGCTTTAACCACTAGGCTACCCGACCGCCCCAAATGAGGATTGGAGGATCTAATCAGTTAAGTCATTGCTTGATTGAATGACTGCTGTTTTACGCCAGATAGAAAATCTCATCCTCGTCTTTTGATATCAAATATATCATCATGAATCAATAAAAGTTTAAACTGTTTTCATATATTTGAAATCAGAAGACGAGGGTGAGACTCTATTTATGAAAAAACACCACTGTCTTGAGTGTAAAAGTACAGCTCACCAGCTTCTGGAAGAAAAACATGTGATGTCATTTGGTAGTGATGTCACACCAACCTATGACATCACAATGGTCTGCAAAAGATTGTGATGCGATTTCCATGTCACGATTTCTCCTGGGAGACCTTGCTTGATCTAAAACAAGAGTTATCACGTGTGGAAGCAAGTTTAGGATGATAAATCAGAACATTCTGAGTCTGGGCCAGGAAAACAAGTGGTTGATAGCTTGAACAACGATCTATACTGCAGTGGTACGATCGCTAACAATTAGACACCTTTGACCATTGTGACAGGCTCTGACAACAACTATGAAGCAGTTCCCACCTCAAATTTCTCACATCGGTGCATACCAGTAACAGAACACTGTCACAAAACTACACTCAAGTCTGGCAGTGACTTAAAACACTTGTCCAGTGGGGCTGGGACGGGTAACTCGGGTACTCAGGTTGGGTGGGTACTGAGAAGGACCCGGGTACCCAAAGGACTACCCGGACCCGAAACTTGTGAGTTAATATATATTAGGATGTGTCAAAACACATTTCTTTTCAGCATGGGACGATTATGTTTTAAAAAGATACAGGATTGAGCGCTCATGATTTTGTAAGGAGGTAACTCTGGTCTGTGGTAGGACTCATGCAGGTCCATGGTACGACTCAGGTCCATGGTACAACTCAGGTCCATGGTACGACTCAGGTCCATGGTACAACTCAGGTCCATGGTACGACTCAGGTCCATGGTACAACTCGGGTCCATGGTACAACTCAGGTCCATAGTACGGACTCGGGTCCATGGTACAACTCAGGTCCATGGTACAACTCAGGTCCATGGTACGACTCAGGTCCACGGTCACGATTAGTCTCAGATCAATGACCAGAGGGAGTGTCATTCTCACATCCAAGAATATCTAGTAGGTTTGAATTTGTCCCAAAATCTCCTGGCCATGCTTGTCTGGCAAATATTCTCCAGATTCCATTTTCTCCAATTTTATTCATTATCAGCGACAAACACATAAAAAGTGCACATGGGGTTAAGTGCCTCTTCTTCAACCACTGCAGCCATATCACAGCTGCGGAGCATGATGGCAACGAGTAGAGAGCATATTTAAACAAGTATCTTGAAGAAAACAAATTTTAAAGGCAATATTAGAGACAAAACACTTAAAAACCTACTCGTATTCAGGAAACTTCGGAAAGTTAATGAGCAGAGTTGTCATCACGTGACCTGACGTCATAGACAAGACTTGACGACGATCACGGTTTCTGAATAGTGTTTGGTAGATTACTAGCGTTCGCCATGGCATCACCTGACAATGCCATCGATGAAAACGTAGAATTTTCACTCAGTGACCTGACATATTTGCCTTATCAATATGAACCGATGGTTAGTCAAAACAGTCTTGACAGCAGCGAGGAAAGGGAGGACGATCAGTCTGATGTCAACACTTAAAGACAAGGGAACACAATCTGGTGTTAAACGGTATCCTGGCATCCTGGATGTTTATCAATAAAAATATGATTGTGGGACAGTTATTCTTGTGTAAATGTACCAGGTGTAGATTGATGCTTACCATTGTTCATTGTGTTTTCTTCACACCAAATAGAATAGTCCATTTTATGCACAGGTGGGTATTTCCCGCATATTCTCACAATCCTCATGTTGATTACCTGTACCTTGTCTTCCAATACCAATTGTCACATCTCACACCCGTCATGTTTATCTGCGTTGCCCAGCTACATCTATGGGGAACAACTCACCAGACACTCTCCTAACATTGTCCAATATATGACGTCATCAAGTTGAAAACACATGTTCAAATCTCAAGAAATGACGTCATGATAGAACAATGTTTCATCGTGTAATAAACCACGCTTCGTTCTTCATTGTTCTTTGTGATTTATCGCGTAGCTGTCATATATTTATTGATAATAAACATATATCCAATAAATCTGACATACAAACATTTTTTTTCACATTGACATTTATCATAAAATTAATCCCAAGGCTTGATCATTTTTTTACCTTTCATGTATAATGACTGAGATATGTTTTACATTCTTTTTTAAAAAGAGGACTAAATTAGTTTCAGGGCATACTGATACTGTGCATACAGAAGACTATCAGCTTCAAGTTTAGTTTACTAATGACATCCTTATTAAAATGTAGAAAAGTTCATCCTGCACGTTTGTGAATAAAATAAGAGAGGCGTTTCCTGCAGAATCGGACACATACAAGGGTTCCAAGTATGCAAGACCACAGGGCTGGAGCGAGTCCAAATTACTACCCGGTTACCCACCCACCTATTACCTGACCCTACCCGGGTACCCACCCACCTATTACCTGACCCTACCCGGGTACCCACCCACCTATTTCCTGATCCTACCCGGTTACCCACCCACCTATTTCCTGACCCTACCCTGGTACCCACCCACCTATTACCTGACCCTACCTGGGTACCCACGCACCTATTACCTGACCCTACCCGGGTACCCACCCACCTATTACCTGACCCTACCCGGGTACCCACCCACCTTTTACCTGACCCTACCCGGGAACCGACTGTTGGTCTCAAGAGATGTCCGATTCAAAATGTCTGATTGGGAATAGTTTGACTGTAGCCCTGGACAAAATGTATTTAGATACACGTATAAATCGATCTGGTCATGCATACACTGACGCTGACTGAAGTTTTACCTTAATTCAAACATATAAATGTCAGAAGGAATGGGTGCATAGCCAGAAAGAAATGCGAACATTAGTGACTTGTAGTGTAACCATATAGTTCCAGCTCATTTTTGTCATTAAACAATATATCACATGACCAACTACGGGTCAGGGTAGTCCTGTGGGTACCCGGGCCCTACTCAGTACCCACCCGACCCAAGTACCCGAGTACCCGAGTACCCGAGTTACCCGTCCCAGCCCAACAAGACCATGAGCTGAAAATGTGAATAAGTACACCAAAATTGTGCCAAGTATATAAACGTATCTAAAACATGTAGTCTGAACAATGTGCATGGTCCTTTGTAATCGTTGTAAGATGGTAGTCAGTCATAGATTTTATGTGACAATAATGCTAAATCTATTTTCGTAATCAAGTTTTTTTAGTTTGTGTGGATCTCTTTCAAGGATAGATGCCTCAAAATGCAAGGAACACAAAACGTAGTCATCATCATCTGGTCTGCCCTTCCGTCTGTCCGTATTTCCTTCCAAGAGCATCACTTGAAAACCATGAAAGATTTTTCATGTATTTACATGTATGTAACATGTATTTACCAGAGGCTTAAGTGGTGGCATTTGCTATACAGTGTTCCCGTTTTCCGGTAATTACCAGTTTTTTACCGGTAAAATTAGCCTTGGACCGGTAATTCATATGACTGCCAGTCCCTGTGGACCAGTAAATAAAGTACATTATAAATCTTTGTTGTTGAACAAAACATCGGTGATATTCATATAAGTACATTTTCCGAACAAAGTGGGGGCCTCTTGCATTCCACACTGACATCGCTTTATCCAACATTTCTGCTCTTAAAATTGGTCTTTTCACTTTGAAATTCGACACTTGGTACTTTCGATTGGTGAAATTATACACCCCCACAATACCCCATTTTGTGTCTTCAATAAGCAGAGAATAACTGAAATCACTTCATTGTCATGAAGATTAATGCACTCTAAACGAAACAAAATGGCGGTCATCTCTCCACAGTGACGTCACAGCTACAGCTCGGCCGCTAGGTGGGATTTCAATATGCATAAGCGCTGTTTGTGGGATCAGGGCAGTTGTTCGTTGCTTTTTGATAACAATGAAATCACATGACTTTTTGGAAGTGTAAATATGTACTTTGTAAGACCATTTAACATGTTTTAAAAACTCTTACAAGTCTCCTTCAGTTTCACAGCCTGACCAGGAGGTACTGACACCAATACAGCTCCAGCATGTTGAGTGAGTGAGTGAGTGAGTGAGTGAGTGAGTGAGTGAGTGAGTGAGTGAGTGAGTGTGGTATCACGACGGGGAACACCAGAAATAGGCTTCACACATTGTATACACCCATGTTGGGAGTCGAGCCCGGGTCTTCGGCGTGACAAGCCAACGCTTTAACCACTAGGCTACCCGACCACCCTTCCCGTGAGAGTGAGAGATAAGCTGTGTATTTGTGTAAAACAAATCACCAGAACAGAATTAATATTTAGCTTCTTGCCTTTTTATCAGTCTTGTTACCATCCTTGCCACATCAAGCCCACTTTACTGTGCTAATATAGATAGTCCAATCAGAGAATAGTCACAAAATCAACATCCAGAACTGGTACACCACTGCCTGCCTTTGTTGACACGAAAATGTTTTTTCATCTTTTAACACACACACACACACTGACGACCATAGGTTATAAATATATTCATACCCATAGAAAACTGATGAAGACGGGTTTGATGCCCAACATGGGTACAATGTGTGAAGCCCATTTTTGGTGTACCCCGCCGTGATATAGCTGGAATATTGTTAAAAGTGGCGTAAAACCATACTCACTCACTATCACAACAAGCATGAAGTATTGGGTGCGTATATCCGTG